TTTGATTTGAGTATTATTTGGGAGACATTTCATCATTCAGCGAGTGTGAAGTGCCAAAAATAAAACAGATTTAGGAGAGGAAAATTACATGCATTTATGTTCTCTTTCCTTTTTTTCAGTTTTTTATTGTAAAGGTGATGCACAGAGGGTTTCAGATACATAAGTCAGATAATGAGTATATTCTTTTTTTTTTTTCTTGTCAATTGTGGGGCCTGAACTCTAGGTCTGGGCATTGTCTCTCAGCTCTTCCGCTCAAGGTGAGTGCTCTACCACTTGAGCCCCACTTCCAGTTTTCTGGTGGAGTTTTTTGGAGATAAGAGTCTCACCGACTTTCCTGGCTAAGCTGGCTTTAAACCGCGATCTTCAGATCTCAGCCTCCTGAGTAGCTCGGATTACAGCCGTGAGCCACTGGCACCTGGCTTGAGTCTATATCTTTTTGAGTAGTGTCACCCCTTGACTCCTTTTCTTCCAGTTGCATTCATGTTTGTACTTGCAACCCATTGTGCAGGTCCTTGAATCCAGAGTCATGTGAAAGAAACTGACAAGGATTAGGACCCCTGGCTCCTTTTTGGACTTAGAGGGGCTCTTCTGGGCACCCTAATCTTGATGAGTTTTCTTATGGTTTCTCATTCGACTGAGAATTACCACACATTTGGTACAGACTTCCACACCAAAGTGATCATTATGAGTCTTTTAGACTTCTTGTTTTTTCAGTACACCTTTCACGAATGAGCATCAGAATCCTCAGAAGATAGATTTCCAAGCAGCACCAAGGGCAAGTGCACCCTCCAACTAAGTCTCGTTGGCTTCTGCACTAAAATGCTGAACTTTGCAATGTAGAGCTGATTTCATTTATTAGGCACCTAGACCAATATCTTCTTTAGAGTTAGATTTATTTCTCACCTCAATGCCCCCTGATTCCTATGACCTGGCACCCCCTACTCTTGTGAGTACCTGTCTTCCTCTATAGAGGTAGAAATCAATTTTCTTTTCACTGCCAGGGCAATCTAAATTCAATTTCCTTCCCATTTCTACCACTCCTATGGGAACTGTCTGGAGACCTCATGGTCCTGACTGAATGATGATGGTGTGCCAGCAACTGTGTGGAAGTCAGGGGCGCTGCTGAACTTCCACAGGCACGGGTCAGCCTCAAATGTCATGATGGCAACCGTGTGAAGACTCCGTGCTAGGGAACTAAGCTAAAACCCATGAGCTGTTGGTACATTATCACTAGGGCTTGGGCAAGACTCACCACCAGGTAACAGAGCATCAGTATGGCACAATGAGAGCTTAAGTGTGTCTACACTCCTCCTCTCATGTGCCAGGCCCCCCAACCAAGGCTATTCCAGAGATTCCCTTCCTCCCACCTGTCATCCTTACCCTGAAACCCTTCTAAGTCTACTGTCATCCTCTCCAAGATGCATTCCTTCCTGTACAATCACAAATGAAACCATGTCCTTTTCTGACTTCCTATAAGGCTATCACCTCATTTTCTCTCTCTGTCTCTCTCATTTGGACTCAACGATCATTTGGTGTGTGTTATTATGCTACCATTATATAGCCTGTCTTCACTGACCCCAATCATTTAGCTTTTAAAATATTTGACACATTGGGCTGGGAAGGTGGCTCCAGTGGTCGAGTGCTTGCCTCACATGCATGAGGCCCTGGGTTCAGTTCCTCAGTACCACATAAGCAGAAAAAGCCAGAAGTGGTGCTGTGGCTCAAGTGGTAGAGCACTAGCCTTAAACTGAAGAGCTGAGGGACAGCACCCAGGCCCAGAGTTCAGGCCCATGACCGACAAAACAAACAACAACAACAACAAAAAACCCCACTAAGCTAGATGCTGGTAGCTCACTCCTGTAATCCTAGCTACTCAGGACACTATGATCCCTGGATCATGGTTTGAAGCCAGCTCAGGGAAAAGTCTGTGCCCAGGCCCTGAGTTCAAGCCCCGGGAGTGGCCAAAAAAATAGTAATAACAAAAATAAACAAATATTTAGAAAAAAATTTTTGAAATATTTTTTGGGCCAAAAAACCAGTACTTGAAATTGATAGCCTGAGAATGAGAGCTTTGTATATTTGAAATTACTATTACTGATCCCATTCCCGTGGATGCAGTGTAGCTAGGCAGCAGAGGGACTATGACAGGGAGGTAGGAGTGAGATTCAGTGTCTGCACAGGAACTGAACATGGAAAGGTCTGCGTGCACACCGGCATCTTCAAGTGACCCTGCAGAAGGTTACACCCATAAGCACCATGTTCCCCAGCCCCAGGACCAAGCCAGAGAATCTCTGCTGTATTCCCTCCACCAAAAGGACTATGGGGCCAGCTGTACTGTGTGCACAGCAGTGCCCACACTCCATCTAGTTGGGGTAAATATCCACTCCCAACCCACCACCCACAGGACTTTACTTCCATGATTCAGAACTGAAATCCTAGCAGAGGACAGCATGGCGGCTCCTGCCCATCATCTTAGCTGTGCTGGAGGCCATATTGAGTAGGATCACAGAGACTAACAGAGGTCCTTCCTAAAAGCACAGAGACATTGCTCCAGTGTTACAGTGCTGCCTAGCAGGCAGGGGTTCAAACTCCAGCGCTGCTAAGCACAAACAAATATAAATCATAACAATCAACTCTTAGAACTGACAATAAAGGAAAAAGTTCTGGGCTAGGAGTTGGCTCAGTGGCAGAGTGCTTGCCTTCCATGCAGGAGGCCCTGGGTTTGATTCCTCAGCACCACATAAGCAGAAAAAAGCTGGAAGTGGAGCTATGGTTCAAGTGGTAGGGTGCTAGCCTTGAGCTGGAGAGCTGAGGGACAGCACTCAGGCCCAGAGTTCAGCCCCCACGTCCGACAAAAAAAAAAAATGGTCAGGATTTGCAATGTAACCAATTCAGCTTGACCCAAAAGTTCCATGGAAACCAGTGCCAAATTCTGAAGCACATTTCACTAACATTTAGGATATGTAAACACTCCTTCTTGGCAGATGAGATTCCGTTTATTTGCTTTAGGCAAGAGGTGATTCTTGACGCTTGATTGATTTCTAATGATCCTTTCATCTTTGTTACATAATTGCAGCCACTGACATTGACTACCAAACAGAATTAAATCGTTAAGCCCTTTTGTGAGCCCTCAGAGGCCGCTGTGTGATGATTGTTTTTATTATAGAGATGAGGCGGGAGTCCGTGAGGTGGGCCTGCCCTCCGAGGATCCTGTCAATACACAACACCAGAGCTGAGCTTGAACCCAGGGTGCCTGCCCACAATGTCTTTATTTTATGGCTATGTTGCGATTCAGAATGATCTAACCTGTGGTTGGGAATTCAAAACTCAGCATGGAACACAGAATTTGAGGACAGGTTTTGAGAATATCTAACTTTTAAAATCATTCTTAAGGTTCCATAAGGAACAAGATATGTGTCTCCATCATGCTCGGTCATGTCCAGATGGAAAGCTCCTTTTTTTTTTTTTGGTCAGTTCTGGGCTTGAACTCAGGGTCTGAGATCTGTCCCTCAGCCTCTCTGTGCTCAAAGCTACTAACTCTACCACTTGAGCAACAGGGCCACTTCTGGCTTTTTCTGTTTATGTGGTACTGAGGAATTGAACCCAGGGCTTCATGCATGCTAGGCAAGCACTCTACCACTAAGCCACATTCCCA